AGTCACCTCATTCTTCTTAAATTTCCAAAAATTAACACAAAAGGCTTAGAGATCAAAAATGAAGGTTAGGGTTTGCTTGGAGGCTGAGAGAGTGTGATGGAGGCTGAGGGTGAACAGCCCTAGCCCTCACATTCCCTTAAATACAACGCAAACCCCAGAAATTAGGGTTTCTCATTAAACAATTGCAACGTCGTGGCCATAGGCTGCCACGCCGCGGCGACCATTTAAAACCCGCGATACAACGACCATTGCCACGTCGCAGGATTCCTTCACCATGACGTGGCACTGCTCGAAATTCAAAAATATAACAAATTAAAATACCTCCAAGAATTTGAATGTTACAATTTCTATGAAAAATATGTTGTTTGATTATTACATATCTTTTTTTTGTAATTTGATTTTGACGAGTTTGATCTAAATTTGATAATTGAAGCAGGCAGGAAAGATACGTGCTAACGATTTTGAATTTGTATTGTCCTCCAGAAACTAACCGTAGTCTCACAGACCGTTCCCTCATATCTCAGTAGGTGTGACAACCGTCAATTTTTTGCCAAGTCAAAGTCAACTAAAGTCAACAAGTCAAACCGGTCAACTCATCTAACCCTTGTATGTTAGGGTTTCAATTACATTTCTTATTGTACAACTCGCAATCCTAATACAAAGTATCACTTAGAGTGTTCACGTGTTCGGAAATTCTAAACCCTAATTAGGGCAAGTGATGAAACTATTCGATAAAACATTATTCCTTAACCCTCAAGGGCATATAACAATCATAACGAGACTTAACGAGGTTTACAAACCTTGCGTTACAAAGCCAAACACTCAAAAAGGTCACAAAAGAAGTCTCTCCCAATCTCTTTCACTCTATCTCTCTCTACCTCAAATCTCTCTAAGTATGTGAAATATCTCCCAAATCTATCCAAGTATGTGAAATCTCTCCCAAATCTCTCTCTGTATGAGAAATCTCTCCAAGTATGTGAAATCTCTCCCAAATCTCTCTCTGTATGAGAAATCTCTCCCAAATCTCTCTCTGTATGAGAAATCTCTCCAAGTATATGAAATCTCTCCCAAATCTCTCTCTGTATGAGAAATCTCTCCAAGTGTGTGAAATCTCTCCCAAATCTCTCTCTGTATGAGAAATCTCTCCAAGTGTGTGAAATCTCTCCCAAATCTCTCCAAGTATATCAAATCTCTCCAAGTATGTGAAATCTCTCCCAAATCTCTCTCTCAAAATCTCTCTCAACTTCTTATAATCACTCGGGGCATCCCGACCCTTAATTTAATCGAAAACCGCTCGAAAACAGAAGTTTACGCGAAAAACAGCTTTAAGGAGCCGAACCCTCTTAAGGAGCCGAACCTCCCTTAAGGAATCGAAACCTCCTGAGAACCGAAACCACTTCCTGAACCGAACCTACTAAGGAACCGAAAGTAACCTTCGGTCCGAGAGGCCACCTTCGGTCCGAGAGGACTACCTTCGGTCCAAGCCTTCACCGTCGGTCCGAGATGCACAGCTTAAGGAGCCGAACCCTACTCTCGGTTCCCCCATCAACTTTCGGTTCTAAGGGCTGGGACCGAACCTCCGGCCCAGAATTTCGGAAATTGTCAAGTTTTGCTCGGTTTTCAATATTTTTAGCGTTTTGAGCCCGTTTTTCGTGATTTTAATGCGGGATTTTCACCCAAAATCATATTTTAACATATAGAACCCCATACTTCATAATTAATCACGTTTTTGGGGTATAATCCTTATCCAAGAAGAGTGGGTGGCATATTATTGGTGGAGTGTTGACTTTACTTTAGTGTATGACACAAGTAACCACCCATGCCCACTCCATGACCAGCCCTTTTCCTTCCACCATACCTAGTCCTTTCATTGTACTCTTTCCATCATTTTTCCAGCCACATCCTTGATCAAAGGCTGGAAAACTCCTCTCTCTCCTCACATTTCTCTCATTTTCCACCAAAGAACAAACTTCATTCTCTCTCACCTTCTCTCTCTAAATTTCGAGATCCAAGGCTATTCTCCAAGCTTTTCTTCTACTTTTGGTAAGTATTATCAACCTCCATATGATTATTTCACTCCTTTCTACTCAAATCATAGGTTTCTTACACAAACTTCATCATATTTGTGTTAGAACTTCGAATCTTCAAGCATCATCTAAGTGTTCTTGAGTTGAATACTTCTTTTCTTCATCATCCATCTACTGAAATCACTCAAGGTGAGTTCATACCCCTACATTTTCATGTTTTCTTCAAGTTTTAGGGGGGGGGGGGGGAATACAAGTTAAAACACCAAAAACTTAACTAAACTCAAACAACAACTTTCATCAGAAAAGTTGAGTCTTATTCACGGACTGTTTTGACTATCTTAAACTTAATATCTTTCAAAACTATTTAATATGCAAATAGTTCAGGTTCATACCTTTAAAATGACTACTTGCACATCTTCATACGATTTTTCTACGATTTATGGTGATTTTTACAAAACTACCTATCATTTCGGAAACGAATTCGGACCAGTCTGTGAATATGAACATTTTAACACAAGTTAAAGACTTCTAAAAATCATAATAAAAATTATAAATAAACTAGACACATTTTCTAAACTCGCAGAATTTACGGATTCAGTTTTCGACTTCGTATGATTTTTCTAAAACAGTGTAGAAAGGTTAAAAACTAGTTAACAACTTACAACTTTCATAACACGTTGTAGTATGTTGAGAAAAGTGTATAACAATAAGTTCTAAATATCGAATGTATTTTCTTGTTAGTTTATCATCATAAACTGAAATTTAGTCATTCATGATAAGGATTCTTCATTCATTTCGAACACATATAATAAACTACAATAAGCATAGTTTATGGATTTTTACTACATAAAAAAGGTTTTACACTCACGCACACTACACGTAAACTTGTTAACGTAAATTGTGAGACATTCTTCTTAGTACTCCTAGAGTACGGGTTAAAATTCCTGGTAGTTATAACCAGAGTCTCTTGTAGGGAGAACGTGATAAATGTGTATAGATCTATATTGGGTTGACAAACCACACCTGAGCTGCATGCAACAGCTAGACCGACAGGTCTGAGGTGACAAGTGGCATTATCTTTTTCGACGCCTGAGAAACGTCGTGGTAGGTTCATTAGTCATAGTATGGTTATAGCGACTCACATAGGGAGTTAACAACACATAAAGTTTGCGGGGATTTTCTCAAATCAAAGAGGGTTTTATGTCGATTTAAAATCACTTTTTATATCAATAAGTATGGATATTACCGTGCACTTTCGGTCTTGGAATTAAAGACTACACATCAATTTTGTAAGGAAAATATTGGATTTTCTTTGGAAACATATTTCTATTAAAACTACATTTCATCTAGAATTGTTAGACTTCAACTATAATTGCTAAGTGTATATGCTAGAGTTATATAAGAATCTAGTCACAATCGACTTAGAATTGGATTTTCACACTTAATAAAGAAATCTATGAGTCCTTCTAGGGTACATTACCGCATAACAATCTATGAGTCCTTCTAGGGTACATTACCGCATAACATAGGAGCATTCATTTCACACTTAATAAAGAAAATATTGGATTTTCTGGAAACATTCTCTGACGCTTTTACAAGGAAAACAATTTCTTTCTCAAACAAAACTCTTATGAACTCACCAACTTAATTGTTGACACTTTTCAAAACTACTTGTATTCTCAGGAAATCAATGAAACAGGAAACCAACAGCATTTTGAGGATGAGACGTTAAATCGTCAAACAATTCATTTTGTCATCATAATGTAATTGATTTTGAAGCATGTAAACATATACTATGGTGTAACATTTTCAATTATACTTATGATGGTTGTATTACTTTGAGCACTATTATACTCGTTGTTGTGATACTATACATGAAGACCGCCACCCCCGGACATTTCCGCCATCCTTGGTTTGGGGGTGTGATAGTAGGTCTTACCATTTCCCCAAATTCAGCTACAAGAAGTCATGGAGGCACTTCTTGAATCAATCCTCTAAACTGAATTTTATTTGTTAGTTTGATGTAGTGACCAAAATGCAAAATTTGTGAAAATTCATTATTATTTATTAGTGTTAACTTTTGGCAAATTATGAAACTAATATTATATATATATATATATATATATATATATATATATATATATATATATATATATATATATATATATATGATTGGGCGTAGCCTGAAAAATCATATTTTAATTCTTAAGGAAAACTACTTTAGAAATTGACCAACTTACAATGTCTGAATTTGATGTTTATGGTTATGACAATGCACTTTAATTGTAATGTTTATTGAATTTTTTAGCAGAAGTTAACGTTGTTGGTACATATAACAACTTATTATTGTTTTTGGTTTTATAGAGCCAATATGCAAAAAGGCATATGAGCCTTCATGAAGGTTGGTACACCAAACAAAATCAATTCATAAAGCTACTACACATCATGTTTTAATCAATGAGTCACATCATGTTGTGATAAAACAAAAATTACGTGGATCATTTATGTTAAAAATTACTCTATTAAAAAAATCAAATTGGTGTAATATAAATATTAAATATTTTTATTTAATAAGTTTGGTTTAAAAACTCTAAAAATAAATATAATTAACATTTTTTATTAAAATTCCACCTATTAATAAGATATGTATTTAATTTATATGCTCCATGTTTAATCTAGTATAAAATATACTCCCTCCGTCCCAATATTATTGTCCATAGACAAAAAACACACATATTAAAAAAATCATTAATTACCATTAACTTTATTTAATAAAATGATAGTTTTGTCCTTATTTTGCATTTAATTTTCCATCAAATGCTTAGTTGGTTAAGTAATAATGATGAGGTATTTTGGTAAAAATATTATTTATTTTTAGAAGTGAATTATTATTTTGGGACAAACAAAAAATAAAAGATGAACTATAATTTTGGGACGGAGGGAGGATAACATAACAAAATAAAAAATAAAAAAATGAGAAAAGTAGAGACGCGACGAAAAGAGTAAACTACCATTTATTAAAAAGAGAGGAACAAAAATAAAAAGTGATCAAGTGACCTATACATGATGCTAGTTTTGCGATATACACACACCCTTCTTCACGCACCCCTAAAACGACCTGAGTACTGCTATTCTGCTAATGTCATGGTGGAAAAATTTAAACGTTACAATTGATACATCATCCACGAGTAGTTAACAATCCGATTAGATTTGATTTACGAACCATATGATCACAGAAATCAATCACCATTTCAATCGAGTGAAGCCTCGAAAGAGCCAGTGAAATCTCAGATCATCCTGTTATTCGCCGAGCCTCAATCTGGAGGAGGAATCAACAAATGCAGAACCGACGATGAACGTCTCCGGTTGGAAACCCTAGAAGTTTCATCTCGGTTTCTCAAGGTTCGTTTTGTTTTATCATTATTGAATTTCAAGGGTTTAGGGTTAGGGCTAGGGCTTATATTTCGGTTTCTCAAACGTCGTTTTGTTATCATTATTGTTCCATCGTAAGATCTGTATGCATCTCAAATTGAAGTTTCATGCGTTTTCTTATTGGTTTGATTCCATGGCTCCGTAATTTCATCTAAGCAATTAACATCTCTGCTCGTGTTCCATGTTAATTGTAGCAGAAGAATCGCAAAAACGTAAACAAAAAATCATTGCCGGTGGTGAATCCGGATCATGTCAGAAATCTCAAGGGACATGAATACCTCAGATGATTCAAATATCGGGCCGGACTTATTCCAATACTACATTCGCGGTGTATCGGAGCTGCTCTCCGGAGATGATTTCTCACCTTCTTCTTCTCGATTAGTTGGAACAGAAGCAACTAGGAGCATTGCATCTAACGAGAAAACTTCTCCTGCTGGCCTTGGTTCCTTGTTTTCTAATGCTGTAGGAGATGGACTCTCAGGTGTTGAGAAAGCAAGATTGATGTCAATGCTACGCCAAAGTGTTGTTACTCTCACAAAGGAAGTAGATGAGGTATGCTATATGTCTCAAATAACTTTCCACCATGGTTTTAATTTGATCTAGATGTTATTGGGCGAGTTTATAACTTTTTCATGAAGTGTTACACCATCACTTGATTGCTTACATAAATTTTGAAAGCAGATGTTGGGCCCTGTTTTTTCAATGCATCGGTTAAGAGCTCTTATGGGACCTACAAAGACCTGTGCAAGATTTCAAGATTCAAACTGTGAAGTTGTGACTGAAAATCGTGCACCAAAGAGACTTAAGGTTTCATCTTCACACATGTTTTGTTTTACTCTATCACTATTCTAGAAGCATTACTAATCAACTATATTGGAAAAAGGAAAAGTTACCGAATTGGTATATTAAGTGGTTGAATGAACTTGGGCGTTTGTGGAAACAGTTATATTTTCATTTATAGTTTCTAATATTACATTGCCATATTTGTATCTTAAACTTATCAGTTTTTAGTAGCTAAGATTCCGAATCCTGAGAGTTAAAATTATATCATGAATCACAAAGTTTCCTCATTCCTTTTATTTGTGAAGAGCATAGATCTTTTATCGTATCACGTGGTTAAGATGAGACAAAATTAATGCTTTAATGACTTATTGGCTACAATTAACCCTATCTTATTTCAATCTTACCAATTCCCTTGTCTGAATATTTTGAAATATACAGGGAACACCAAATGAACAAAAGGGTATGGCTATATCAGATAAGTCCTGTCAGAATAAGGGATGTGCAAAGTTTTCTGAAATGGACAATAATACCCAAAAAAGCAACACTAATGAATCCAAGGTTATTGAAGTTTTTATATTTCACATGTTCTTATCTGATATTTATGGTTATTACTTGTAAATTTAATCCTTCATTTTTTTTAGTCATTGTGTGGTGATTGTTTAAAACAAGCAAATGGCTCTCATGAATACATGAATGAGTCGTTTTTGGGATCAACTTCTAGAGATGATAAAGAAAATGGAGAGGTAGATAATATTCTGACATTTATTTGTGTATTATAGAATCCTACTTTCATTTGACCCTTTTGCCCCTCCTTCCTCCATTTTCAGGTTAATGATGATTTGCAAGTTCTTCTGGTAAACAGAGGTCCTAAGGTTGTAGAAAAGATGGATAAACATTCTGCTGAATTATCTGCAATGGTAAAAAAAATAATACTCAAGTTCTGATTTTTTATGATTTTACATTTCTTTTTGGCTAATTTGATGATGGATTTGTGGTTTTTTACAGCTTGGGTGCATGGAGGAGAAACTTGAAGAGCTTCTTGATGTTATCATTTCCAGTTGCAGGTAAATTTTCATTTTTCAGTTTGCCATTGATTTGTTGATGGAGGGCTTTTACGTCTTTTTAAAGAAATGCTGAAAGTAAATGGTCAGCTTATCAAATGTTTATATGTTGATAGATCATATGTTATTCTGGTTATAAGCCAAGGCTGCAAAAGTTGCAAGACCTTAAATTATTAAAAAAATTAAATATGACCAATATCTTAACAAAATAAGTAAATAACCATCAAAAAATATATGTTCTATCTGTTTAAATTAAATAGTTTACTCACCAATCATCATACCATGAGTCCAAAGTAATTAATAAGTTTAACAAGTTCAAAATTTTAAATTTGTCCTCATCTTCAACAAGTTGTAACCTTTAATGGAATGAAAATATTTGGATAAAACTGGGAAAAAGGGCTTTAAGTCTTGGTATGAGTTATAAGATGAAATATAGTTCCTATTAATTTTGATTTTTTCTGTTTTTTGATTATTCGACCGATTTTAAGTGTAAGAAATATCTACATACTTTCATTTATTTGTTTATTAGAGCATCTCCAATGGGAGCTTTTTTTGAGCTTATTACTTTTTACTTTTATCCATTAAATGGTCAGTATTGGAGGAGATAGCTTATTTGCTTTTTTTTATTGACTAGTCAATATATATTAGTCATTATATATATTGAGTGGTCAATATACTTTTACATTTAGTATATCTAAGCCCTCATTCTTTAGTAAATTTCATTTTACTCCTTAAATATCTTTTAGTTTTAAATTATTGTTATTTGTTTACTAATTAATTCATTTTATTATATATAATGACAATTTATTTAAGAAATGTAAATTTTATATTGATTTTAATAACATTTTTAAAACCTTTTTTTAAAAAAAATTTATAACTACGATGTAATACTTTTTTCATATTTTATGTATATAAAATAAAGACCCGACATAGTTGTATTTATGTATATTTTTTTTTATGTTTGTGACATTTGGATGTAATGCGTGTTTAGAAAACGACTAATTAAATGAGGGGGTTTATAGAATATTTTAGATAGATAAAGATATATTAGTTAATTTAAGAAAAAAAGCTATCGAAAGGAGCTAACCATTGGAGATGTTATTTAATTAGAGCTTAAAGTTATAGGAATGATGAGTTGGCAATTTTTTTTGAGTCTTAGCATAGGTTAATCATTGGAGATGCTCTTAGAGCATTTATCTTTCATTTAGGTATATTACAAAAGTGTACTTACACTCTTTTTTGTATCGATACATTGTAATAGGAAGAAATGAAAATAGGATGCTATAATAAGCAAATCAATGGAAGTGTGTTGCTATATCTTTCGGTTAACCATTTTAATAATTGTTATGGCTATTAGTCGTATAAATTTGTGATTTGATGGACAAACTTGTTCTTTCTAATACTTAATATTAATATTTGGATTTTATGAAAAAATTGGTTTAATCAGGCTCATGACCCTTTTGGAAAAGCATAAGCTACGAAAATTAATTGTAAAGTTGCCTCCAAAAAACTTGGATCGTGTTGCGGAAATAATACAACGGGGAAAGCCATCTGAAAAGCGATCTTGCGATAACATTGATGTTGATCTGCAACAAGAGGTAACACAATCATGTTTTATGTGTACTTGAATGATAATATCCTACTCTTTTGAAGAAAAAATGATAATATCCCTAAATACAAACACATGGACTAATATATTGTCATCTTTGAGTAACCCTACGTTAGTACTTCCTAGGGGTCACCCATCCTTGTATTGCCCAATATAAAACCTTTGTAAGGAATAAACACCCCCCCCCCCCCCCCCCCCCCCCCGCGTGTCTCTGCGCGACCCGCCATGAGGACTTCCCACTAGGAATGTAGATTTGGTCTGCTCTTGCGTAACCATGTTTAACCACCGACACGAGTTCAATTTAATGAGGGAAGAAGGGAAATTGATGGAAGTGAGAAGAGAGTAAAAGAAATTGGTGTTCCTGAGTTTCATTAAAGGAAGGAAGTGAAAAGAAATAGAAGGAAAAATTTTCTTTCAATTTGGAGAGAGAGAGAGAGAGAGAGAGAGAGAGATTTATTTCACTCCTCTCCAATTTGGGAACACAAAATTCAATTTTAGCATCCACGATAGGTTCTTTTAGGAGTTTTTAAGAGCCTTTTCTAATAAAAATCTCTTCAAAATTGAAAAAACTACTGGAGTAACTTTTTCAAGGAGCATGTGAGTTCGAAAGCTTTACCATAGCTTTTTCGGTGATTGTGGTGGGTCCTCTATATATTAACTAACTATAAATAGACAACTTATACAAAAAATATATAAATAAGCAAATTGAAAAAAACTCTCTTATTGTGGAGATATAATGAGTTTTTCAATTTCAAGTTTTTTTTTTTCATGAAAAAACTCTACCAAAAAGCACTCTAATTGTGGGATGCTCTAATGGGATCTAACACCGTCACATATTTAAAACACGTTTTGGAAGTAGAGATATCCACTCTTATAAAGAATGCTTCGTTCTCCTTCTAATCGACTATACTGTTTTTGCCCAAGCACGTCCAACTATGGAGTTCTGACCTGCTTTTCCCCAAGCACGTTTAACTACGGAGTTTTGATGTTGCTTTTGCCTAAACACGTTTAACTACGAAGTTCAGATGATGCTTTAATAGCTTTAAAAGCGCATCTTTGAAGGAGACGTACCTGTACTCTTATAAGGAATGTTTCGTTTCGCCTTCCTCAGTTGCTCATATTATGTGGTGGTTATGGTGCAGGATAATATAACACTATGGAGATTATACTTTTACGTTAAAGCAGTTGAAAATGCTCAAAAGCTTTTTTAGGAGTCACAGACGTTCTTATAGCCTTCACGATTAAAAAGATTTTGTTGTAACGATCTAACGTTTCTTATGTTGAGGATGTTTGGTTCAAAGTAAGTCACAGGTGTATATATACATATCTTTGGGAAAAGTTGTACATACAACAATCGATCGATCATCCGAATGTTATCTTTTAGCGGAAGACAAGATTTGTCGTTTTTTTTTGTTCCATAAATAATCACTTTGTAGTTATACTATCTTTTGGGGGTTATGAATTTTGGTTACAAAGTTTTATGTTAAAGTGATAAGGGGGTGTTTGGAAGTGCTTTTCAATTAACTTATTGGCTTTTTGAAAAAGTCAAGAATTCCAGGTTTTTTGAAAAAGTCATTATTTTTTTTTGCCTAAAATGTTAGTGTTTTTCATTTATTCTTATTATAATATTCATTATGAGAAATCAAGTATTTCTTAACTTTTCTTCCTACTTATCCTCATACTCATTCGATCACAAGTGTCAAAATCAAGAAAGGGATTAAGAAAGAGAATTAGTGGTATCCATATGTCATAATCTTATATGTGTACGAGGATAAGTATGAAGAAAATGTAGAAGGATATTTAAGTTTTCATTCTGATATGAAAAATCTATCTAACAATGTTATCCAAAAGGCAAGTTGCAAGAAAGTCATTATATTACCTAAGGTTCTAAATAACATAAGGCGTGACTTGACGGTAATGTCAAGCCTCAAGCTTTTTTGAGCCTTGGTGAGCCATGTCGTTTGTAAAGCGTGACATAACGCGACAATTTTGTATATAATTAATATTTTTATATGTATTTTCAACTATTATTTATTTTTATACACATATGAGTTAAGGCGGCGTTTTGGTAAAGCTTGGCGGCAGGTACAAGCCTTGGAGCCATGTTGAGCTTTTTAGAACCTTGATATTACCTCAAAATTTCGATTTTTACACCGAGTTTTTTTTTTATTTTTATTTATTTATTTATTTTCCTCTTGAATTGCAATAAAGTCACTAAGTTTACCAAAATTTCGATTTTGATACCGAGTTTCAATTTGCAAGAAAGTTACTATATTACTACAAAATTTCGATTTTGACACCGACATTTTTTTTTCTCAGTTATGTCAGTAGATTTACAATTTTGTTGCGATGTCAATCAATTGGCCGATTTAGGAGATGTTATTGTGTTTTAGAAGTTCGATTTAGAAGCTTGATTTGTACAACAAATAAATGAAGTTGGTCCAATGGTTTAAACTCATTTATAAGTCAACGAAAAGGTCATAGTCACCCTTTCAAGAGATGTTATTATGGTTTAGAAGCTCGATTTGTACAAGAAGTAAATGAAGACCCTATGAGGTTGATTTAGTGGTTCAAACTCACTAAACATCTCCTAGATCGATCTTGTAAGGTCTTCATTTACTTGTATAAATCGAGCTTCTAAACCACAACAACATCTCCTGAAAGGGTGCATACGTCCTTTTTATTGACTTTTAAGTGAGTTTGAACAATTAAATTGACCTTCAGACGCCATTTGTGAAGATATACTCTGACGAGAAATAAACATTACACATTATAATATAAAGTGTCATGTAATGTCTAGAAAATACAAAGTAACTTCTTCATATTTTTAAATAAGATAAAAACCATTCATTTCAATCCATCAAAAGATAATCAACATATAATATGTAATCTTAATAAACATTAGAGTAAAATATAAAATAGATAATGCGGAATCTCTAGTGGATGCAATGCAATCAGGTTGGGCTCTTCCCTTTGCTACCAGAAGTACCTGAAACATTTAAATTTAAACCGTAAGAACAAAGATTAGTGAGTTTCCTAAGATACCACATACAACCATACATAAAGCAAAGGGTCTGTTTCCACCCAACAAGTCAATTTCAACCGTGTATATATATATATATATATATATATATATATATATATAGAGAGAGAGAGAGAGAGAGAGAGAGAGAGAGAGAGAGAGAGAGAGAGAGAGAATACTCACCTCACTGACGGTTAGACAATCACCATAGCTAGCAAAAAGGAAAAAGGCTGGCACAAGTCACAACAACCACCTAACATGTAATCAAAAGTCAAACTACATGCCTTGACCTAAACCCTAAAGTTTGACCTAAAGCCAAGCTTAGTAAAAAAGTCAACATTTTGGTGAAAAAGCACGATATGCTTCTTCTGAGTGCCTTGCGCCCACAAAAATACAAACTAGTCGATTTCATAGGCTTAAAATACAAACGTTTTTGACTTAATCCATTAAGTCACAACCCCATCTTCCAGATCTAAACTGTAACAAGGTCTAAATGGATAAAGTTTCCAACTTTTTCCATTAAGACATACCACTGGAAACTTTATCCATTTAGACATACCACATCAACCAAGATGTAGACTTTTGTACCCCAAATGACCTAAAAACACCTCCAACACTTGCACGACTCGAAGGAAGGGCTAAAGGTCCAAACTTTATGAGTTTAAAAGGTTCAAACAACAACCCTAAGTGACCAAAAGGAGATGGAGTCCTGAAAACTCCAAGCTCACCTCCAAAATGGGACCGAAAGTGCACAAGATGGACATTAAGCAAGATCTAACAAATGACAAGGAAAACTTGAAGCTTTATACTCACAAAAGTCCTGGAGATGCACAAACTTTCTAGATCTAAAGTTGCTCTTCTCTTCCAAGCACCCAAAAGAAACCTTGATTTTCAAGCTTTAAGCATAAAACATGGAAAAATAAGCTACAAAGGTGAAGAGAGGCTCAAATCAAGTTAGAGGAGGCTAGTGGGTCTCTTTAAGGAGTGATGGAGGTTGAGAATGAGCTAACCTATGGGTTAATGGTGTTTAAATAGCCTTCAAAACCCTAAAAACCTCTTCAACCCATTGGTCGGGAGCGTTACACCCCCTTACATGGCTTCCACATCACAATATTATCATGTCATTTATTTGGTAAGTTGTTAGATTGATGGTAACCCGTCAATTGGTTTAGAAGCAAGTTTGTAGGGATCTTCATTTATAGAGGTCTTAATTTATTTCTTGTACAAGTAAATCAATCTTGTAGGAGCATTCATTTATTTGTTGTACAAATCGATCTTATAGGGGTCTTAGATCGACCTTGTAGTGATATTCATTTACTTGTTCTACAAATCGAACTTCTAAACCACAATAACATATCTTGAAAGGGTTACTATGCAATTTTCGATGATTTGTAAGTGAGTTTGAACCATCAGATCGTCCTTAAATATAGTGACATAATTGGTTGATATTGCACCAAAATTATAAATATAGTGACATAATTGAGAAAAAAAATAACTCGGTGTCAAAATTGAAATTTTGTGGTAATATAATGACTTTCTTGCAATTTGCCCTTATCCAAATGTATAACATTCTTCAATTCTATAATTAAATGGATGTTTTAACAAGATTTATAAAAGAAAAATATAATGCTATATTTTTAGATTTTTAAAGTACAATGTTTTAATAAAAAAAGTACTTATAGTGTAATGATGTAGATGAAAAGAAAATGTAAGAAGTTATAGTACATAAGTGAATAAAAGTTACTGTACAATCACCTTTAAAAAAACAAAAATCACCTTTAAAAAAAACAAAAAACAAGCCGAATGTTTTCATTTAATTTTCTATAAGGGTGCACGAAGTGGGGTTATTTTTTTGTTTGGGGTTGGAGGTACCGGGGTACCTCCATGATGATCAACCTTCTAAAGTGGTACTGTCAATTTGCTCGCTTCAGTGGATTGCTCAAGACTCTCTCTCTCTCTCTATATATATATATATATATATATATATATATATATATATATATATATATATATATATATAGTTTGTTGTACCTCATGTTTTAAAACTTGTAACAAATTGTGTTTGTATGTTTTTAATTAGTTAGTGAATTAGTTTTTTTTATGTTTTTAATGTTTTTGTTAAAACTTGTAACAAATTGTGTTTGTATGTTTTTAATTTTTTGTTAATTAATTTTGAATGATTTTAATTAGTGTGTATTTATTTTAAAATTAAAAATTGAATGAGTCAGAAAAGATGAGTTTTCATATGTTTTGGGTTGGAAATGATGGAAGAGAGAGTCAGAGAGAAAAACTGATTTGGTAGTAGCTCGAGTGAGTTTGAAGGGAAAGACTCCCTCCACTCTTAAAAGATAGTTATAATTAATTATGTTGCAAACTAACCTTACACGTATATATGTATACGAAGATCATCCAAGTATGCAGAAGTTAAAAAAAAAACATAACGTAAATAATATTAAAAATATCATCTATCTTTAATTGTTTTATGGGTGGTGATAAATGAACTCCATAGATGGACGTGTGTGTGAAGGTTTATTTAAAATCATTATTGTTGTATTTATATCAAAATAGGTAAATAGAATAAAATTAATATTGTTTCATGATCAAAGTATGCATGTGGTTTAACTTTTGGTGAAATTATTTTTTAATGTTTTGATATTCTTAATTTCTGTTGAAATAATACTGGAATTTTTTGTTATTATTTAGTGATATTATTTTCTTTACTTCATCCCTTTTATGCAATTGTTATGCGGTACTTCATCCCTTTCATCCCTTTTATGCAATTGATGTTTGTGTTTGCTTTGCCATGTTGTACACTTGTATGTTCTTTATCAACGAGTTAAGGAATGTCTTATGAGAAATCAAATATTTTTACTTTATTTATTTATTTATTTTCCTACTCAATAAATCAAGACAAATCTCAAAATCAAGAATGAAGATTAAGAACGGAAATTAATGGATTTTATATATCATGATTTTATTAATTTGAATAGGAAAATAAATATGAATAAATTGCACAAAGATATTTATTTTTTTTATATTTTATTATAACAGAATAAAAATACAAAGGAAACAAAACTAAAAGTTAAAAGGTTAAATCATTTGAAAAATATTAAGATAATTTGGGTATGTTTTGTTAGACCGCTTGCAAACTCATCTTACAAATGAAAATGAAATACCACATAAATCAATCTCTTGAAACAGTTGAAAGCTTTGCAAATGATACTATATTCTTTTTTTTTTTTTTCATCAAGCCATCAAAAGGCAAAGGTGAATTCCTTTTCCTGGCGGGTCAAGTTTTGGGTCAGATTTTAATGGTGAATGCTACATTGGATCGGATCTGGTCCGACTTTTGGTAGTCCATTTCACACATCTTTATGAGCTGGTTACGATTAGGTATCCTTCATACTTCCTTTTCATCGTCATTATCATTATCCTCCATGCGATTTCTCTACTATACTGCACTCACACTCTTTTTATTCTTATCTCCATTT